CAGCACTACATTATGTCCTACCTGGGCCTGGACCCAAACTCGGTCCACTACCCCTTCGTGCAGTCACCGGGGTATGAGGACGAGTACCCCCCCACCCACCGGCGATGGTGGCGATGTGTTCTAGTGGCGAGTGGCTGGTTCTGCTTCATTTCTTTTCCAGACTAAGACTCCATGTTCTTTGTTGTTTCTTTCTATCTTTTTCTTTTGGATTGTAGACATGGAACTTCGGTTCTTTCACCCAGTGTGTGTCTTTTGATTACTTTAGCTCTGTGCCTTGGACTGGTCCCCTTCCAGTCCCCTGCTATTGACTGGTCTGCCTTCCAGTCCCCATTCCCGATCTTCATTTCACAGTAACATCGTTCCCCTTCCCTCTGCTCCATTGAGGACACTGTCACATTTAAGTGTGTTGGGGGGGGGGGGGGTTGCTTTGTCTTTATTGGAACGTATGCGTGTGTGCTTGGAGCCTAGTCTGCTGTCCAAATTTTGAGATTTGAGGGCTCCAAGCACTGCTGTTTTTTTTATCATATTGGCACTGTGGGTTAATTGATGAGTCGATTGGTTGTTAGAATTGATGCATGACAACTGAATTGTGACTGAGACAACCTATAATGATGACTGAGACGTGCAGTAGAGTTGTGTAGGGGTTCAGTTTTTTCAATTATTTGCTTACCAACTGTGACTTGGACTGATCACTTGCTCTTGACAGTCGTTTATGCATCTAGTTCAGGGAATCAGAATGAGAGATAGAGCATATAGGTAGCCATGTGAGATTTGAGCACGCTCGTTTCTTTCTTGTGCGATAGATCCCTCTTCCATGATGTGTAGCATTCACGTTGTCACTAGCTAAGATGATGGAGGCATAGGATTAGCCCACGACCAAATTGACTGTCCTGGTGTGTCATACCCCCTAGTCAGCCCCTTTGAGCCGTGTACTTTTCTTTCTTTCGGTCTACAATGGAAAATCACCATTTTGCATCTCTTAGAAGGTTCCACAGAGTAGTTTTTGCATGTTCTCTGTTGTTTCTGCTAAATGTAATGTGAGGGGTGGAGGTAATGTTTAAAAATGGGGCATCTGTTTGATAAATGTGCAGAGGTGGTGGTTCTCTCGAGAAATGAAAAAAAAATGAATAAAAGCAAAAGAGAGCCACTACCCAAAAATCTGAATCATGCTCATTAAGTAGTGTTTCTTAGCAGTCTGGCTTGGAAATACTAACATTATTGTGACCTCCTTCGCTCTTGTGCTCTAGAGAATTTGAGTAATGCAGAATGGCAGAAAGAAAGTTACTGGTTTGATTGGTTGTGAATGTGTTGGGTTTGGAACTGTGGAACCTTGTGCTATGAATACTTCCACACCTAAAAGGATTTTACCCCATGTCCAAGACCCTAGCCAGTCGTTTGAACCTGTGTCTAAGAACTCTGGATTAGTTAGTGGTGACATCCCTTGTGTGAACTCTAACATTTAGAGGCTACCATCATGGTGAAGAGACGTTAGGATTGGAGAGAATAAGCATGCGCATTTTTCGCATCAAATTGTCCTGGCCCAATTGGTCGAGAGTGAGCGATTTCCTTGTTCTTTTTTGCTCTTTACCCTGGTGAGGACCTATGTGGCTCGGTCTTGATTCTGATGTCTTGAGTTTGATGCATGCGATGACTGTCTTGATTAAGTGTTTGAGTCAAGTCTAAGTTGGTTGGATGAACATAAAGGATTCCTCTTCCTTTACCATATTCTGCTGCACTCGAATGTCATCTGTGGTGGTTGTCTAGGTTGTCGTTGAGGTTGTCCATGTGTTAATGATCAAAAGCCAGTATGATTCACGTGTTTTGTGCCGATATGATATGTCCCTAAAGCCTGTTTGAATAAAACGTTTTGAGCTTACCTTGTGTCTGACTTGGTTGTGCTACTTTGTCTTGTATTTTTGGCCTATTTTACGTTGGGTTGTACTACTTTGTCACATTTCAGGTCCCAGACGTTGAAGGAAAGGCTAAGCACGAGTTTCGGGGCGTTTGGAGGTCACCCAGTCGAGCTCGGGGCAAAACACGGGGAGGAGGCCAGAAGAACACGGACGTGTGCACGAACGAGCACGCTAGTGCTTTTTAGTGCGAGAGCTGAACTGATGAAGAAGAAAAACACGGGCTGGACTAAAGTAAAACACGGCCGTGTTTCATACCGTGTTATTTATGTCGAGGGTTGATTTTTGGGGGCTGCTGCGAAGTCCAAAACACGGGCGGAAGTGAAGCAATACACGGTCGTGTTTTTAACACGTGGCGAGGGCACGGATGGGCAAAAGAAAAACACGGCCGTTTTTGCCCAGAATCGGGTTTTTGTGGCAGATTCAAGCCAAAGGAAAGGGAATAAAGTTTTTGAGCAAAAAGCAGAGCCCTAGAGAGAGAAAGTGCGAAGAACACATCCTAGAGGTGATTTTGGAGCTGGGTTTCATCAATCAAGCTTGGAAATCATCATAGGAGTGAAGATCATCATCCCGGAGCAGATTATCCTCGTCGTTATGAGTAAGACTACTCTGATTTCTATTTTCCTCTCTCTCTATGGAGTAGAACTTTCTCTCACTTGGGTATGAAGAACCCTTGTTCCATGTGTTAGGAATCTTGTTTGTAATGACTTGGGATTGTTATACTGATTGATTTTAATCGATTTATGCATGATTCATTGAGTCAATTAAAGCCTAATCATCTTTTCTTGATTTCTGCTACAACCTAAGATAGATAGAATCTGATTAGGTTGTTAGAGCTTCATCAATCGGTAGTGGTAGATTGGTTATACGAGAGTTAATCGATTTAATGCTTTGCACTAGAATCCAATTCCAGTAGTGGAGTTCTGTGTTCATAGCCTCAGCGTTCTATCCTGGTGAATACTAGTCGTCTGCCGGGTAGTTTGACTAAGAGGGTTTGGTCAGCTTAAGAGATTCCAAGCTACTGTCGGATCTTCCGCAGTTTAATCAATAGTTAATCAACCCAGGGTAATTACAACCTCGACCTAACTAAGGATCTAGGGGGACTCATTCTCGAGTGACTCTTCCCTTGCTAAAGAACTTTGAACCATTTCCTGCTTTCTTACTGCTTTTGCTTAAATCACAATCACTCGACTTAGTTTGCTAGATAATAGATAATCACGGAGTAGGCAGTAGATCTAGACCCCGGGTTGACAAATAGAACTTGCCACTAGTCTGCATTTACGGACTGCGATTACACTTGGTCGCAGTTTGGTGTTGTGTTTTAGCGTGTCAGTTATCTAAGATTGCAAATGTGATTATCTGTGCCAGTCATGATGCCTTTGTGGCACGACATCTTCGCGGCTGTGATCTTGGTGTCTTGGTTGTGACCTTCCAGTTTTGTCCTTTCTTCCACAATTGTATTTGGATTCTTTGATAATAGCGCTCGAATCTTGAAATGTCACCAAGAAGATTATGAGCATGCAATAGGAAGCAGTTCTAGGCTAACTCAAAGTTCAAATGGTCATTGGATGCTTGAATCTTCATGAAAACACCAATGAAACGAGTGCTAATTACACCACTTTGGATGTTATCAGTGGTTTCATGCGTTGAATTATCAAACTTAGTGTTAGTCCCGAATTTCTTGATGTATCATAGTTTGAATGTTTGACTAGTGTGATGTCTCGAAATGAAGTGTTAGTCCTTAGTTTCTTGATGTGTCATGGTTCGAACCTTTGACTAGTCAATGAAAGGGTGTGTTTGTATGTGAAATTCAATTCCAAGGTTCCACCCAAAAAAATTCAATTCCAAGGTTGATCCCATTTGGCTTACTTTGGGGAAGGAAACTAAGCAGCTTGTTTCTGATTTGAAGACCTTGAGGAAGTTGCTCGATTATCTTGTTAGGTAATTCCATTTTTATTTTTCTCTATTCTAGTAGGAGTTTTGAACGTCTTAGGAGGAGCGTTGAACTTGGTAATAGCGATTGATTTGTGGGAAGAAAGTAAGAGAATTTCTTTAACCATTTTTTTAGGGAGAATTTCTTTAACCATTGAAGTTACTTTATGGTGGAACTTTTGGCTTAATGCTGGTTATCTTGGGCTGTTTTTGATGGGTGACTATGGTTAGGTATGATGCGGTGAGTTATTTGAAGTATTTGGATACACTTAGGGTATCAGAGAGTTTTCTCTATGTCTGGATATATGCAGAGTCGAGTTATAAGATATTTGATTATGTAAAGAAGCGAGTCTATCGGTTGGCAAGGTCGAGTGACATTAATTTGAAGGAGCAAACTTATACCTCGACTGCCAAACGGAGGAAACTAAAGATGGATGGACATCATAAAGACAAAGGCAAGTGATTAAGAGATTATATTCCTGTGGTGGGCTTGACATAGATTTTTATGTATCTATTGACGTTGTTGACTGTTCTTTATCTATATCTGTTGTGGCAAATGGTACTTCGTCCATAAGTGAGGGAGTTATACTTGAGGAAGTTTTGGAGGAAGCACCAAAGTGGAAGGTGTTACGTGTGAGTAAGTGAGTCTCATTTCTAGGCTTTTTTATGTATCATTTGTTTCTGAACTTTGTTGAATCATCAGTGTCTGCAATATGAACCATCAGATAGATTTTTACACTTTTGTGCCTGAAGATTTGAGATTTGATACTTTTCGCAACAGGATATAATTGAAGAGATAGAGGAAGGAAGAACAAAGCAACCATTGTACGAAGATGCTGTTAAAAGTGATATAAATTGGAAACTGGCATTGTTCTAGTCGCCTGCAAAGATGAACGCTCATGTATGCATGTCGAAGATTGCATAACTAATGGGTCTCTAAGGGTTTCTTACTTTGAACTGATTTTATTAGCTGTAAATTGATGCCAGTGATTCTTGTCTCAAAGTCTATCGAGCTGTTAAATTCTGACCCTTCTCTATTTTTCATGTTGCATTGAAGGTATTGCGAGAAGAGTGGCAAAGTTATTTGGGTACCAAACTGTAATTTGCCAAAATTTAAAATTTAAAAATTTAAAAATAAAAACAAATTACAAATGAGTATCCAAACAACGTTGTTTAATTATATCCATTTCAAATGGTAGTACTTCAAATACATCCATTTCAAATATCTTAAATTTGAAATACACCTAGGAATAACAGACGAAACCATACACCCAGAAATAATGCTTCAGGTCGGAGAAGAACTTGCGCTTTGCATGAGTGGCCGTCCCCTTCGGTAGCTGCTCGCCCACCAGATAATTGGCAAAGTCAAAATACCAAGGGGTGACACTGTCCACCAAGGTCATCGCCAGCAATCGCTCACCCGGGAAGGAGTCATCGATCTCTTCCACGAAGTTGTCCACCGGATCACGCCATCTGCTCCGACCCTAAAGAGGTAAGGATCTTCCCAGAATAATGCTTCAGGTCGGAGAAGAACTTGCGCTTTGCATGAGTGGCCATCCCCTTCGGTAGCTGCTTGCCCACCAGATAATTGGCAAAGTCAGAATACCAAGGTGTGACACTGTCCACCAAGGTCATCGCCAGCAATCGCTCACCCGGGAAGGAGTCATCGATCTCTTCCACGAAGTTGTCCACCGGAGCGGCTTCCAACCGTGATAAATGATCTACAGCAACATTCTCAGCTTCCTTCTTTGCATCAGCCTTGCTCATCATATAGCGAATCGTCAAGTGATCTGTGTAGACCACCACATGGGAGAGCACCAGATATGGTCGGAACTTATCAAATGCATACACCACCGCGAGCAGCTCCTTTTCAGTGGTGGTGTAATTCCCCTGTGCATCGTTCAAAGTCTTTGACTCGTAATAGATGGGCTGGAAGTGCTTCTCGCGTCTCTGACCCAGAACTGCTGCGACTACATAGTCACTTGCATCGCACATCATCTCAAAAGGAAGAGACCAGTCAGGAGTCACCATGATGGGTGCATGAGTAAGCTTCTCCTTCAATGTCTCCAATGCAGCTGTGCACTCAGGAGTGAACTGGAATGGTGCATCCTTCTCCAGCAGCTTGGTCAGAGGCAGGGCAATCTTCGAGAAGTTTTTAATGAAGCTCCTATAGAAGCCTGCATGACCCAGAAAGCTGCGAATACCCTTCACATAAATGGAAGGAGGTAGCTTAGTGATCGTCTCAATCTTCGTGCAATCTACCTCAATCCCTTGCTTGGAGATCTTGTGCCCGAGCGCAATCCCCTCACGGACCATAAAATGACACTTATCCCAACAAAGTGCCAGATTAGTCTCCTCGCATCTCTTGAAAACGAGTTCCAGGTTATGGAGACAATGAGTGAAGGAGTCTCCATAAACCGAGAAGTCATCCATGAAGACTTCCATGATCTCTCCGACCATTCGGTTGAAGATCGCCAGCATGCATCTCTGGAAGGTCGCCGGTGCATTAGAAAGCCAGAATGGAATCCTCCGGTAAGCAAAGGTACCGAAGGGGCAAGTGAATGTGGTATTCGCCTGATCCTCTGGTGCTATTGGGATCTGGAAATAACCAGACATGCCATCCAGGAAGCAATAAAACTCATGGCCAGCCAACCTCTCCAGCATCTGATCAATGAAAGGTAGGGGAAAATGGTCTTTCCCCGACAACGACGCCAAAAACTTGACACGCTAAAACACAACACCAAACTGCGATTTAGTGTAATCGCAGTCTGGCCCATGATCTTAGCGCTCGAGCAACTCATGACGTTGTTGTTTCAAGTTCACAACCTGAAGAAGAATATACCAACCCGATCTCGCATTAGTTTTCCACGTGTCTTCGATCCACTATAAGTATAGTGATGCTCCCTCTTTGAAAACATACTTTGAAAGTTCTAAAACCCTAGAGAAAGGTTAGAGAGAAGTAGTCGTCTTGTCGAGGAAGATGAAAAGAATGGAAGAAAGAGGAGATTAGAGAATGATTTTCTGCATAATGAGAATATATTTTCTATGATTTCTTCCTTTCTTTGAGTGGCTCTCCTCGCTCCAATCATGGGGTCGTACTTTAAGGTACTTGAGCTTTCCCCCAAACTCTATCCTAGGGTTTGATATGTAAATGATTTGGTATTGTTAATGGCTTCTGTCTTGGTTTGAGTGTGTGAATGATTGTCTAGCATGATCTAGCACTAGGTTGGCTTAGGCTATTTCTTGATTATATGTGAATGAATGCCTCTTATCTATGATAGTTAATATGGAGTCCTAGTTGGTGGACGTCGTGACCATCCTTTGCCAACTAGGAGCTCACCTAGATAATGCTGGTAAATGATTGTGGCTTACCTAAAATAGTTTATATAGATTCATAGTTGGTGGACTTAGTGACTACCATTGCCAACTCGGAGCTTCGATTCATATCACTATTTAGTAATTTCTACTATATTTCATATGAATATCGTAACTATTTGAATTATGTTCTTAAGATAGACCTTGAATGTATTTTATGTCTTTTGGTGTTGTTTTGTGCTTTTCAAGGATAGAATGCACTTAAGATGAATATGGACCATCAAAGGAGAGGAAGGAGGACGAGATTACAAGTATAAGGGCCCAAACAGAGATTGATTTTCACATCGAATTCTCATTTTATGGTCCGGAGAACCAGGCCCAGTGTAGTAGAATTATCATTGATGAGATCAGCACGACTAGGGGTGGAAATTGGGGTGGGTGTGGTTACCCGCCCACATTTTGTGGGTACCCACACCCACAAATTTACAATTATGCTACCCACAACCCGCACCGCAGTGGTTAGTGGGTAACCACTACCCACTGTGGGTTTGTGCGGGTTGGGTGTGGTTACCTGCAAAAATCCATCTTTGCAAGCATAGAGTTCTAGTCGCCACTAACGTATTTGTTGTTCGTAACTAGACTATAGTGATATACTTGTGTTGTTCGTGGAGATACAATTTTGTACATCGATCTTACTCAACGTGGAGATTTTTTCTTTTTGAGTTTGGTATTCAACTTTTGTGTCAGAGAGCTGTGATTTCATATTTCCCCGACTAGGGGTAAAATATGAAAATTAAATATGATCTTGTTTTTTTCACACAAAAGCAAAAACATACTGATAAAAGTTACAAAAAGTGTTAATTTTAATGAATGTATTATTCTCCACTCTATCGATTATAGTGTTTTATAAACTAAAAATTCTTACATAAAACTGATTAGGTGTGTCTTCTTTATTTGGTGGATACTTTAATTTTTATCCTCGCAATTTTTACATACTATTATATTATAAAGTTAATTCACTAAATAAATATAATTAGTGTGGTTATTGTGGATTTTATGGGTTAACCGCGATGGGTAGTGGATAACCACTAACCACAAAAATTGTTATTTTACTACCCACACCCAACCCACTACCCATAACTTGTGGGTATGGTTACCCACAATAGGTGCGGGTTGGTGCGGTTTGCGGATTATTCACAACCCGCAACCCAAACTTCAACCCCTAAGCACGAGCCCACTCAACACCAACCTCCGTAGATCCAATTGCATGAAGAGGTTGCTTGCCCCCCAAGAAACCCAACCCATAAAGAGGAAAGGCGGTAGGTACCGCCATTGGGACGCCGTGAAGAGGCCAAGTTCCAAAAGCTTCTTGCTTCATTTCCCCAAGTTGAAGAATCTAAGTACAAGGAAAGGTTTGGAAGACTTTAGTAGGTAAAAAAATTGAAAACCCCCTTATGTAACTAGTATAAATAAAGGTTTTCAACACAATTTGACAACTGAGAGAAACAAACCCAACACTCTGCCCTTAGGGCACGATTTCGAGATTCATAGAGACGAGACAAGGCTCTAGAGTCGATGAGGAGGTCTTCACCGTTTTGTTCTTCATTATTGGTGATTGGTGATGTCTTCCTATTCTCATATGTCCAGCTGCTAAAAGTTGTTTTGGGATGTAAATTCTATGATATTTATGTATCTTTCTATGATTAAATGAAATGTCATTTCTATTCTGTGTATCATTCTCTTATATGTTACCATGTATGTTGTTTATGATATGATATAGGATGTTAGGAAACTACTTTCTTGTGATATCCCATTGTATCATGTATGGTTGTTTAGGTGGACGCATCTATGCAATTATGCATGGTTGTTAAGACTAACAATAAAATAAACCTTATGTTATGGCTCAAGAGGCCCACACTTAACTTAGTGATAACCGTACTACTCTCTTCTTAATTAGATAGTTGATGGCTTGAAGTGAAAGCACATATTAGCTATTAAGTGTTCCTCTCGCATGTGGTGAAAGCTCAGTTTTTAATTCATTCGTGGAAGGTATAGGATATCATAATAGACGAAACATTGAAGTATTTTGTTGATGAGATTGTATGTATGAGTATCTAGAAATCATTACCTAAACAATGTTCTTTACTTGCTTGTTTAGTTTGTTTTCTTTCCTTGCTTTAGTAGAATAGGAATTCGACTAAAGGGAACCTAAACCCATCTTATTTAATTTTCATTGCATATTTATCTCAAAGTTATGTTGTTAGTTACTGTTGAAAGACCTTGTGAAATATGACCCTAGGTATTCCTAGGATTTTTTATCCTAGATGTTTATTACTCATAGCAGTCAATTATATTAATAAAGATTTTGATGTTTTATTTTCCTATGATCTATCTCTATTTTATCTTGTGAGTTCTCAATTGATGCTAACCTTTTTGTTTGATTGTATATTTCATTCATATGACAAGGAGGTTATCCCCATTTGCAGGATAGAACATTAGGGAGAGAAGGGACTGATCAGGCTTCCAGGATATGGAGGATGAAGGACTTCTTTATTAGGTTGAAACCTAATATGGGAATTCACAATACGTTTAATGCTTCCAATAATTTATTATATGTTAAAGATAACTGATGTGGTTGTACATCGAGTTTTACATTTATAAACTCGATTGTTGACAATACTAATTACCAAAATCTAGGACAAGTGCATCCTAGATCGCAGTAGTATAGTGGTGACCAAGCTTGTATTTCAAGGGTCACGGTATCCTAGGATACTTTGGCTCAGTTGTTATCTAGTCAACATGTTACTTAGCATGTGGGCAGTTGGTGATTGCTAAACTAGAGGTCAATAGAGGAGAAGAGGTTTGGGGGACAAAGTCCCAAAGTACCTTGAGGAATTACCCCATGAAGAGAGGGAGAAGAGACATGCAAAGATTGGAAGAAATCATGAAGAAGGGTCTTCAAGTGCTGGAAATCCTCCTCCACTCCTTCTAATTCTCTCTATAACCTCACTCTATAACAAGAAATCTGCTAAAAGCCACTGTACTCAAGGGGGGAGTCCCCAATTTATAGAATTCTAGAAAATGCAGGCATGTTCGCGGGCAAAGGGTACTTCATCGCGGCTGTGAACCTTCTTTAGAGGTGGAAATATTAAAACAATGTTGCACTGGATGCATTGAGAAGGGAGATCGCGGCCCAACTAGACGGTTGCAAGCTGGAAGTTGCGGTTGCAATCTTTCTCACGTTCTTGGAGACAGAGGCCCGCGTTTTGACTAACAAAAGCTTTTGTCTTCCTCTGGCTACAGCTCCCTCAAGTTCGCGGCTTCTCCCTCCAAAATCGCGCGCGTGATCTCTGACTAGAGGTCACGATCTTCTGTTGGACTTCGCAGTCTCCTTGATCCCAACCGTGATCTTTTCTCCTTCAGCTGAGAACTCCATTTTGGCCACATTTTCTATACTTGTGGACCCTTTCGTTCCTAAAATGCATGTATCATCTAATACACCCTAAAGTGACCGTAAATATAGTTGATAAATAACATTATTTTGGGTGTTATCAACTCCCCCATACTTAGGTGTGTGCTCTTCCCCAAGTAAACCTACTCAAACTAGTACAACTTGGTAAAAAAATCAACATGGTATGCACTATAGTTCATCGTTGCACTAGTTAGAATAGTCAGGGATCGAGTGAACGTTACTCCCATCTCACTGTGAAAATACGAACTCCTAGATGAGGACCATGTTGTGAATTGAGGGTGCTCTTTATTCTTTCTTTTAAAGGTAGGAATAAATGGGAAAATAATGGATCCTTTGAAGGTGCTTTTTATTCATTCTTTTCAAGGTAGGAGTCAAATTTTTATTCTTTTTTGTTATACATTGCCGAACTTGGCACCAAACATTTACAATTTTGCAAATAGGCATCTCTCCCTCGGGGTAAGAGGAAAAGTACATTTCCTTCTCTATCAAAGCCTAATGTAGTGAATTGAGGGTTGGATTCATTGCCACAAGCATTACGTCCCAGCCTGCACTCCTCGTCTCTACAACAGAAGGGTTGCCACCCATGTGGGTAGCAACAAGATCTGGAGGTCTCTTTGACTTTCTTAAAGGTACACGTTCTCCTTATCATACAAGTCTGTTAGGAGGAGTGGTGTTTAGGGGATGGAAAGTAGTAAATGATGATAGGGACGCTAAAAAGCTATATGGTCTCCAAACACATCCTCAAATGGCACTCCTGACCAAGAGAAAAGCCATTCAATGGCTTAACTTAAACACTATGCTCGGTTGCCTCTCACGTAAGAACCTATTTCCCAAAAGATTTTATTTTCTTCAAATTGAGCACATATTGCAAACGTTTTTTAGTCCAAAATTGGGGACAGAGTCCTGTACACATGTCTTACTCTAAGTAGCAAACATACTCACCAAATAGTAAGGTAAGAGTAAAACCCCTCATACACCGACAACTCTTGTTTGCTTGGTGAATTGAATCTGATCGCTTAGTGGATTCAGAGCAATCGTGAGCTTGTATCGATCAGTTTATCACCCTGATCGTTGCCAATCATTAACCTACAGTTTTCGAGCCTCTTTCCCTTGCGAAAGTTGTACGAAACTTTCCACCAAACACACGAAATCAAGCCTATGTTTTTGTGTGTTCTTGTCTGAGGAAGGTTAATTCTTTGAATTGATCTTAGTTGTGTCAATTCTTATCAAAACAACCCCCTAGGGTTGTATTAGGATTGGATCTTCAATTAAGCTTTCCCAACGTGTTTCCCTCTCTAAAACTACCCAAAACCCTAACTTTCTCACTCTAGGTCGGCTCTCCTTTGTCTAGTGCAGAAAAGGGGGTATTTATAGAATGCTGATGGTGGTCAAGGCCTCCAAGGCATGACGTGATGGTCACGGCCATGACCTGGGCGTTACGCGATGGTCACAACCATGACTTGGCCATGACTAGCTGGAACGTCGCCGAATTGCCCGAAATATCGCATTTTGATTCCGTACTTAAGATCCGAGATAGCGGCCACCTTCATAAGATCGCGGCCG